AATGTTCTCAAATTAATCGAATGTTCTATCTTAAATATATCCAATGTACACTGATTATGGTTTTGCAGCACATACCTTTCTACGTTGACCATAACCTCTCTTCTCTCGAGTAGATCTTTTCAGAGAGTCATCTCGGTACACATCCCATACTATGTCAAGTCGCTTCACTGACTCTAGCTGTCTGAGAATATAGGGTGCAAATACCGCATTGAAGTAATCGTCAAATGTGCTTGCGGTTTTGGGTGGCAACATTTGGACAATAACTGCACCATCAAGAATAATTGCATCTACACTTGGGTGTCCTGCAACCTCAGGCGACGGTTTCGGCAAACACTTTATCAATTCTGCTTTTTGTCCTGTTCTTAGCTGCCCTACTTGCGAGAGAGATGGCGGCCAAGGCTGATTTTCGAACTTGAAGAACTCTTCAAGATTTCCATCTCGGCTTTGACAAGAGATGTATAACCTGGAAAAAAGTGCGCAGTCTTCTTTTAGCACTTGTAATTTAGCGCCTTCTTTTGATGTGGTTTTCTTGCCAATGGGTGAGAAAATATGGAAGTTGTTTCTTGGTATAGGGTCAGTAATAGGCTTCTTTCTCTCGACGAGCCGCTCTTGGAAGAACAAATTGAATTGGTCTTTTCCAACCTTTTTAACACTCTTGACTGCGTCAACAACAGCTGAATCCATGATATCCCTTGTGTGTAATGCAATGAGGTCTTTCCCTTCTTCAAGAAAGGGATTTCCCATTTCTTCAAGGGACGCAATGAGACTTTTGACATCTTTTGCGAAGGCACTCTGCACACCGGGTTGCTGTTCATGGTGTTGGATATCATGAGYTTGATTTGCCAAATCTTCAAACTCCTCRATCATTCTTGCTACTTCAGGACCTGAYACCATCCATCTTCTCAATGCTGCAGGGTTTTCTGTCAGACCCACGGCACCTCCTTCTCCTTTGACTTTGGCATTCTCTTGCTCGTGAGCATGGTCTAGTGCTATGGACGAAAACAGCCTTTTGCTCTTATGTACCACAAAAGAACCATTGCAAAAGTTAGCGTAGACATCTGGGTGTTTGGCTTGTAGGGTGCACATGTCACGATAATGCACAGATAGCCATCTGGCATAGTTCGGGTGATCAAGAGCAAACATCCATGGTATTATCTCCTTCATAGACTTGATGAACATKGAAAAGTTACCTTCTCTTATTGACCTGACCAATTTCAAAGAGAGGAGTTCTAGATCTAGAAATGTGGACCAGTATAAAAACTGCGGGCATTCTAGCATGCTCTCTTTCCATTCTAAAAACGGCTTGGGTTCTTCAACATCTTTGGCGTGGTCGATGTATGCATTATGCATGAGCACATAAAGGCTTACTGCTGTTACTTGGTGCGCTCTCCGGGTCCGCGTTAAATGGCTAGCCTTTACGAAGGACTCCGCCACTCCCTGGGTTGCTACATTTGCATTGCATAGAGCTTCAGTCCAGCCACTTCCACCGAGCCATTTTCCAATCATCTTGAATACTCCCATTTCGATGTGTAGTGCACCAAACATGATGACAAAATTGTCCTCGCTATATGTACCACCAAGGGTCCACTGGATTTGCTTGGCCAAAGCAAACAGAGGCTGGTCAAGAGTAAGCACTGGAATCTGGTTAGGGTTGAGAAATTGTGTAGCATCTTTGATGACTCTCATAGAATGGACAATCATCGCAAAGGAATGTGCATTTTCCATAAACATTGGTAATAGTGAGATGATTGCTGGCTCGTGATTTGAAAGTGAAGACTTTGAGGCACGGTATGCTGCCCAGGATATGAAATCCTCTTCCCCCAACTCGCCCTTCGATAGGATTTCCTTCGCGTTGGCAAGCCAATCTTCTTCTTAAATGTTTCTTTCGCCAGGATTTGCGTCGACAGATTGAGATAGTTGAGATAGCTGATGAACTTCCGGTACATCATATTCAKTGGTGTTTAGGCACACAGGCAAAACATCTTTGTAGAGTTTCGGTAACTCAGCAAGTTTTTTAGAATCATTTCTCTTTGTTGGATCAAAGGTAGGGGTAGGTCTTTCATTGCCAAGATTATCTGAAGAAGGATGCTGAGTCAATGAAATGGCAGTGCCATGAAAGGAATCGCGGGATGTCGTT